ACAGATGCTGGCAAGGCTGGTGAGAAAAGGCAATGCTTATATACTGCTGGTGAGAATGTAAATTAGTTCAGCCACTGTGAAAAAAGGTTTCAAGGTTTCTCAAATAACTTAAAACCGACCTACCATTTGACCCAGCAATCCCATGAGTAGGTGTATACCCAAAGGAAAATAAATCATTCTACCAAAAAGACACATGCACTCACATGTTCATTGCTGCACTATTCACAATAGCAAAGACATGGAATCAACCTAGGTGCCCAGCAGTGGTGGACTGGATAAAGGAAATGTGGTACGTACACACCATGGGGTACTACACAGCCGTGGAAAAGAATGAAATCATGTCCCTTGCAACAACATGGATGCAGCTGGAGGCCATAATCCTAAGCTACTTCATGCAGGAACAGAGAATCAAATACCACCTCTTCTCACTTATAAGTGGGAGCTAAACATTGAGCACACAGGGGCATAAATATAGAAACAATAAACACTGTGGACTACTTGGTTTGGGGGAGTAGAGAGAGGGAAATGGGTTGAAAAAATACCTGTTGGGAACTATGCTCACTACCTGGGTGATGGGATCCATACCCGAAACCTCCACATCACACAGTATACCCATATAACGAACCTGCACATGTACCCTCTGTATCTAAAATAAAAGTTGAAATTTAAAATTTAAAAAAAAGTTACCAATGCAAAAAAAAAAAAAAAAAAATGGGAAAGAGGACTTGAGACATTTCTCCAAAGAAGATAAACAAATGGCCAATAATAAGCACATGAAAAGATGCTCAATACCACTAATTATTAGGGAAATGCAAATCAAAACTGCAGTGAGATAGCAGCCATTAGGATGGCTACACTAAAAAAATACAGAAAATAACAAGTGTCGGCCAGACTCAGGAGTCCACTATGGGGCCGTGATGCTAGTTAGAGACCATGCTGTTGTCATAGGTATGCTTTTGTACCTCTAAAAAAACAATCAGTTGCCATCTGAAGACAGAATCAGAATATTAAAGCTGGAAGGAACTTTAAGGAAGATCTGAATGGAGAGGGTCAGTAATTTAAAAAACTACTGGAAACACAAGAAGAGACAGAGCCTCGAGCAGAAGCTCCAGTACCGCGGCAGATTCAAGGGGAGCTGCTGCGGGCAGGGGACCCCTCCATTC